ATGCTGAACTCAAATGAAGATATTCATCCTCCAGTTCATGTGGAATTGATCAGCAAACAAAGACTTCCAATCTTCCAGTGATTATACCCATCACAAAATATATTTCAATTTTTCGTCCGATTATTATCCAAGGAAGAATATTCGTCCAAATAAAGCTACATAATGTAGCATGAGAGAAGTGTCCCATGCCCAGCATGCAAAAGGAGAGAGACGTTGAAAGAGAAAAAAGTGACTTGCGAGACAAAAGCCCCCTAGAAAGTGTCATGTTTTTGCTGAGTGACTACACATGAGGCATCCTTAACACTAGATGCTCATGTGCAATGAAGCTGTTGAAGACAACTGTTTTTAAACTTCTTTGGGATGTACTGAGTCGCCTAGCACTGTAAAAGAAACTTTTTGAGGATGGACTGGTTACAACATCATGAATGGGATGAAAGAGCAGTGGATTATCATTCTTGTGGTATGCTTGGTGCTAGGGAGAGAATGAACCAGAGGTGCTTTCAAAGGAAAGCCACACTTACAGTTGCTGAAAAAGTCCCACAATGTTCTAGCTCTCTGCTGGTGTAAATTAATAGATGCAGACGATGAACATAGTTTCACTGATGTCAGTAGTCAATTACAGGGAGAAAAATGATTGTTTAAGGGTGTTTTGCACTGACCAACACCATCTTATTGCTGGCTTTTGCCATTTTAATGAGATATTTTTGTGCACTGATCGGGAAAAAAAGTTGATAAGAAAAAAAGGAAGAGATTTTGATATTGAGGCACTCGCATCTATATTGATTTTTTTTACATTTAAAGCTTCATGTGGATGTAAATCCATAGCTTACTTCAAGTCCATCTAAATTGAAATTTACTCAGCACAAAACCAAAACAGACCCCACAGCATTAAAACTTAGCAGAAAAAAGGCTTTTTGCTGTGCCATTAACTTCAAGAAAAACAATTTGATCATATGTAAGGAAATACTACTTACATAAGCATTATCAATATTGCTAAGCATGTCTTCCTCGGCAGAAAGGTCATCCATAAACTGGCTTACAGAAATTGGCACGTAGCTCTGAGGAATAACATGACCAGCAGCTGCAATCGGAGAACAATCCAGTATCGCATTGCTCTGAGGTATAAGCCTAAACGCCAGTGATGTCCTACAAGATGTAGCTGTACAGCTCAGTAATTGAGTAAAACAGAAAATTCCCCTAGCAACAATTTAAAATCTCTACAACCAATGTCACTACCTTCCACCACAAGCAGTGCCCACATAGTTATCAGCTGCACCCCTGTATACGGCTGCAGGACGAAGGCCGGCGGTAGCATGGCTGAGAGCCTTACCAGTAAGCAATAGTAAATCCCCAGGACTCAAGCCACTATCTGCTAGATACCAACGACCATTGGGATCACAAACCTAGGGATAAAGAAGAAACAAACAAGGAAAATGATTGATGGCACAGAGAATCCAGAAAAGAAGTGTTTTTGTAACGAGGAGTCAGAAAAGAAGTTATAATGTATTAGTTGGAAGTTATGCACAATCCAAAACTCAAACTAAAGATCTGGAATTAACAGGAATACCTGAAGACCAGAAGCATCAGATGAAATTAGTGTCAACAGCCCCTTCTCTACTTCACCATTTGCGACTTGCTTCCCTCCACCAATAGCTCCCTTCCCATTTTGAGAGGTGGTACTGGAGAAGGTTGCAACAAGAATGGACGAAGAGGCCTCATTAATGGGCAACGGATTATCATCAAGCAAGTGATCGAAAACACTGCAGAGCACGACGTATTTGGTCAGAATCGCATTTTAGACATAAAGAGGATTTGAATGATATGATAAAGCCTAAACAAAGTTCCTTACTCGCTGCGCAAACGAAGGTGCCTTGCGATTGCACTTAAAGAAGCACGAGCTGCCCTTCCCATGCAGCGAAAAACTTCAGTCATGCATGGGGGAGAAGAGTCCATGTCTTCTAAAGGCCTAACATGTAAGAAGCTGATTATCAAATCTTTAATCCCATAAGGAAAAGCTTCTAACATCTAGCCTTAAATTTGAGGAGAAGTTTGAGACTAATAAAATCAAACTAGACAGTCTTAGAAATAGCAAGAATGTACTCAAATTCAAATAGAAGAAACCTTTAAATCGTTGAGTTCAGCATAGGGGAACTGCTGAACTGTGTCGCAAGCTAACAGTCCATGGCTTTAGGTACTTCTTATCGTTTCGAGCAAGTAAAAATGGATTACTATATTGATTTTTAGCTTCATACCGGAGATCTCTCCTCGATATCATATTCTTCCAACATTGTACTGACGGGGTATATAATTTAAACACAATAAATAAAAATCACATTTGCTTCTACTCCTTACCTTCCTGCCCTGTATATATAAACCCCACGACCACTCTTGCTACCAGTGCCGGCCCCACCATTTTGAGCTAGCGCCCTCGTCTTAAAAAAATACCTGACTGACTCCAGCCCACACCGTAGGACCGCGGTGCCTTCACTGCCGAGCTCAATCACGGCCGCGTTATGCCGCATAAGCGATCCTGAGAGGGCCTCCACGGCCCGCAAATATGGCCCAACCGGAGCTCCATCGTAAGGTGCAATATCGGAGAGCTTAACTCGGGCCAACGGCGGCAGTCCAAGTTCTACCGGCGGCCCAATTACATGGTCCCGACCCAAAGAAAGTGGTGAAGGTGAAGGAAATTGAGTAGCAGCAGTGTTGGGGGATCTAAGAGTGGGTGGAGGAGTGGGATTGATTGGGTGTGGTGAGGGTGCAGTGGACTGATGCTGATGCATCATGATCATAACCATCGATCATTTCCGTATGTAAGTATAGAAGAGAGAGAGAGAGTGTGTGTGTGTGAGAGAGAGAGAGAGTTGAATTAGGGTTTATGTAGTTGGAAAGATGAATTTCGTAGCTGGAGAACTCTGGAAATGGGAAATTGTTGAGATTTGATAAAGGAAAATTTGAGAGGTTTTGGGAGGTTTTTGGCTGCAGAAACTTGAAATGGAGTTGAAGCGCTCACAGTGGTAAAGAAGACGAAACTGTTCCTCTTTTGAGTTCTTTTTCCTTTCTTTTTTCCGCCTAATATTTGGTACCCGCATACCAAGTGGGCGTTTGGACATAAGAATTGTAAAATTCCAAAATATTAAAATGGTATTTGAAATTTAATAGAGTTGTGTTTGGATATGAATATAATTTTTGGTTTTTTTTGAAGTTTTGTGAGTAACTTGAGTGAAAATTTTGAAAAATATATTTTTGAAAATTTTATGAACAAATGCTGATTTCGAAAAAAAGTGAATTTTTTTTTTATAAAAATGGAAAAAATTTCTTATGTCCGAACGGGCTCTAAGAGTCCGTGGCCATGAATTCTTTTTCACTTTATTTTCGAATCTTTTTTACTTTTTTCGAAATCGGTGTTTGGCTATAAAATTTTCATTTTTCACTTAAAGATGAATTTTTGAATTCTCGAAAATTTGAAAAACTCAAAAAAAGTTATTTTTCAAAATTTTCACTCAGATCACTCACAAAAAATTAAAAATAACCCAAAATTATATTCATGTCCAAACACAACTCTAATTTTCAAATATCATTTTCAGTTAAAAAAAATTTCACTTTTTCAAAATTTTACAATTCTTATGTCCAAACGCCCACTAAAACCGGATTCAGCTGAAAAGTCCCACAGAGAATAAAGCACGAGCCCAAGACGTCTCGTTATGAAGAATAAAAGACTACTTACCACTCCACCGCAATCTTTGTTATTTCCTCTAAACTTGCTATAAATGAGGGAGAAATTCAAAAATAGCCAGATTTACCACTGGTCGTTGAAAAATAGCCAAGTTTCAAAAGTCATCGAAATTTAGCCACTTTAAATCTGAGCGAAAACACTGTTCAAAATCCGGAAAAATACGCCCGCAAATTTTACGGGAGTTCCAGCATAAGTATGCTTGAACTCCCGTAAATTTTACGGGAGTTCCAGGATAACTATGCTGGAACTCCCGCAAATTTTACGGCAGTTCCAGCAAGTATAATTGTCCAGTATAATATACTGGAGTTTGGAGTACTGGTGCTCCAGTCTCCCGCAAATTTTACAGGAGTTAGCAAAGTATATCGGTCCATCATAATATGCTGGAGTTCGTACACAAATGCACCAGAACTCCCGTATATTATACTGGACCGGTCCCTGTTGCAGCAAAATAGTGGCTATTTTTCATTGACTTGATAAACGCTGGCTATTTTTCATTGACCAGTGTGAAAACTGGCTATACCATGATATTTTAACTATAAATCACTCTAATAGTCCAACGAATCCTTTTTCCTCCGAACTTAAAATTACTTTAATATGTTTTTAGCAAATTATTTTGTAATTTTCCTTACCATAAATCATAAGTAAACTTTTGATTATGATTTAAGATTATCTTTAAATTGAAGTTTTATTACGACCAAGAGAAAATGAGACTTTTTTTTTTGGGCAAAATATAAAATTGGCCATTCGGCCGAAACTACTAATATTTGCTAGACAAAAAATTAGTAAAAGGAAAATTTGACCCTTCTCACTTTTTTCCTTAATCCTTGATAGTAATTGCTAAAGTTGACAAGTTACCACTTTGACAGTGGTAATCTCAATACTTGTGATAGTTGGCAAGTAGCAATCTAGTAAAGTAAAACTAAGTAGCCTGTTTGGCCAAGTTTTTTTTAACCCAAAAGTGCTTTTTTGGGCCAAAAGTGTTTTTTCTCAAAAGTTGAGGTATTTGGCGAAGGTTTTAGAAGGAAAAAAATACTTTTAAATAGAAGCAGAAACATTTTTAGAGAAACAGAAAAAAGTAGCTTGTCTTGATAGTAATTGCTAAAGTTGACAAGTTTACTGCTTATTGCTTGCTTCTTTTTTGTTTTTGATTGAGCCGATGGTCTATTGAAAACATCTCTACCTTCACAACGTAGGGTAAGATCTGTGATTACCCTCCCCAGACTCCACCTATGGGATTACGCTAGGTTTGTTGTTGTTGTTCGTATAAAAAACAAGTGTAATTCAGATCTTTTGCAAACAGGGGGGCAAAAGGTACAATAATACACAAATGCACTTATCAGTGCGCCTGGCAATTTCCAACATAATGTGTACTTGAGAGTCAAGATCACTCTATAACTCCTCCAACATATGAAGAATTGAATTCAGAAGAATGACTTGTTTGCAGTTAGCACAAATAGCAAAGAGTAACTCCCACTTAGTCTTCATCTTGAGAGGACATAAGACACATCAGATTTCGTCGCAAGATCAATAGAAGTGCTTGAGGCATTTCATTAAAGCCTCTGTGTGCTCAGGCTTGCCTACAGACACACGAACGTATCCTTTCAGTTCTTTGCTATTGTAGTGACGGATCATCACTCCCATTGTCGCAAGATCTTCCTGCAACACAAGTTTTTACTGTTAAAATGTAGGAGAAACAGGAATGCATTATGGACTTGCCAACTGATTCACAATCTCATAACAATATTTCCATAAACATAAGTAGTACCAAGAAAGGGTGAGCATAAGGTAGTATAGGATCAGTTTACAACCATGCCTTGGATCCTACTCTATAATGTTTAATTATAACTGAACTTCATTCTACCCATCCATACGTCTCTATTCGCTTTGCAGTAAAACTTATGGAACATATAATCCTTTTTATTTTTTTGGTGCATTTGTTAGTAGGCAATGACAACTGATATGATACAACACTTAAGAAAACTTGATACATATTGAATAGTATACAAACTCAATATAATCGTGTGTATCCAACAAATGTTGCAAAACCGCCTAATATAACTTTAACTTGGGTTTTGCATGAGTTATTAAAATACTGAAATTAGTCATTAAAATTGAATATAATCAACTAGCATTCATAATCTCATATCAGCAAATTGCTTCTTAAAAAGGGTGTTCCAGTTAGCCCACAAGTTCTCCTCAAATGTGTCTATCGTGCAACTTCCAACCTATCCTCGCCCACTTATTCCAGCATAATAAAGACCTCAAATACCTCATTTGCCTGCTCTCAGTAATTCTTGATACTCAGTATCTACTACCAGGTCTACATTTTCCCCACATTCAATGAAGATAAAATTCATTCATATATCTAAATATTCTCTTATAGGTGATCTTCATATATACAATCTTATATTAATTCACTACTTCTGCATGCTAGTATTTCGACAGTCCAACTATGCTAATCCATCATACTACAATAACATAACAGAAACCACGTAGTTCGTTAAAATGCTTTTATTTGATTCGTGTTCTTTAATACTTCTTTCACCTTGGTGTCAAGCTTCTAACATAGTGATGTTCAAGCCACAATGAAAGGACATGAGGCCAATTAAACAAACGATATATCGGAATAAAAGAAGCAACAGAATTGACTTTAAAAGAACGGAACTTAGTGATATAAGCACATTTACCTTCAATTTCTTAGCATCCATTCCAGACGTAACCTTACAGAGAATGAAATTAGAATAGCTAGGGTATGGATCAAGAAATGGGACTTCTTTCAAGAGATTAAAGAGCCTCTCCCTCTCTTGCACCAGTGCCACTTTCACATTCTGGCATAAAATGACACAATAATCAGTGAAGCTTTCAAGGAAAAGGTATGATTTTCTTCACCTATAAAAGAAAACAGAATTTGGGCAAAGTTAATCAACAATGATCAACGCAAATGTTCCATTTCCTAAAGTACCTCCAGATAAGCAGGATTCTTTAGTGCAGCACATGCAGCAACTTCAGCAGCAACAGACACATTATATGGTTGCTTTGCTCGCCAAAGGAATTCAATAATACTCTTTGGAAAAGCTCCATACCCTACTCTGAGTCCAGCTAAGCCTGAGGATTGGGATACCACTTGTATTAGTCAACTATACTTAATCCAAACACTCATTTAAGACACCACTTAAAAACACTAATTTCGCGAATAGGAACATATTGAAAGTCTTCATTACTATTACAATTTGATTATATGACAGGACCGATTGAGATGAGCATGTTGTAGCCACAAGTGATAAGATTTTGCACTAATCAGCAAAAAATAATAAGGGGCATATGGGTTTTCCAAGCCCACATACTGAATATTTTCATAGATGTTAAATAAAAAAGAATGAACCTACCAGCTCTTTTGCTGAATGTGCGAAGAACAATTAGATTCTCATGCTTCTTCACCCACTTCATCTTAGACTCCATTCCAGAAAACTCAACATATGCTTCATCCAGTATAACCAATATGGGCAGATCAAGTATTTTCAACAACGTTTCATCATCAATTATACTGTTCAATAACAAGATAAATTGTCACATTAGAATGACAACAATTAAAGGACGTTGGTATCAAAATGTATAACGCCAAACAAAGCAGAAATAATAAGAAGTCAACACATTGGAAAGCGAGCAAATTTAGAAAACAAATTTCAATTGTCAAATTCCCTGAGGTGCAGAAACACATGCAAAAATCTGGAAAGCATACAGAAAAATATGTGTAAACATACTATTTGATTATCTCAATAATAAGTTTCTAATCTTTGCTCATTTTTCTTCATAATTGCTTATAGCTACTTTCACACCAATGACGTCATTCTTTTAACTCCTTCATAAAGTGCATTAACTACTTAACCAATTAACTGTTTAAACAGTATACTGTGCAGAACAACAATGTCTTCAAGCTACATAATTTAAACTAACACTAACTGATGAAAGCCTTCTAATATCTTTTGAAGTCCATCAGAGTTATCCCAAAGAACAAGGCATAGACATAAACCATAAAGAAACCAAAAACACTACCCAACACAGTAGCAGGACGCATATACTATCTTAAACAGTCACAGGTTGCCTCAGTCCAAATGCTACAGATAATTGCTACATGCACTCTTCCAAAGACCCTTCACTGATAAAAGTCATTCCAGCCAGTAGAGTATTCTTGTCCACTTAAGATACCAAAAGAAGGCCACTGATTATTTTGTCCTTGCAAATGCACATGTCCGTTTCAATACAAGTTTACAATTGCTACTCCTTGTTGAACTTAATATTGCTTATTGTGCCCAGTCAGCTGTAACGCAGAGATACTGTAGTCAAGGACAATACCAAAAAGACCTCTTTTTATTGGTAATAAAAAAGGCCAATTTTTCAAGGCTATAAGCTCTAGAAACTAGTAATAGTTACCTTTCACAAAATCGGCAACAAATGTTTTGGGTACAAGTGTAATCAATCTATATAAGGCTCAAGACAAGGTAAAGAATGACCTTGGCAATAAAATGGGGAAAATGGAGCAAAGAGAAGTTGAAGGAAAAGAGCATTTTCGCAGGAGGGGTGTGCGTAGAAGTTTCCGTGGAAAATGATGCTTCATCCAGAAATTACAAAGCCGCCATTTATGATGTGAAATACAAGAAAAGGATTTTTCGCTTCCATATTTACAGGGTGCAGTATAGAATTACTGGCTAACTTGAAATTCTAGCAATAATTTCCTAGTACTCATTTTCTCCTTCTCGTGGACTTAGAGAATAATGAAAAAAAGAAGAAGAGAAGGTGCAACTGAAAGTTTTGAAGATGATTTTAACTTAGACAGGAAGAAAAGCAGAGAGAGACTCACAGCAGTACGTTCAAGAGAAGCAAAGTACAACCACAAAGAGAAATAGACCAGAAATACAATGCAGCAATACCTCCCATCAGGATTATTAGGCGATGTCAGAAATATGCACTTTGGTTTCTCATGTTCAACCACTTCGGCAATCCGTTCTACATCCAGGCTAAAGTCTGGGTTCCTAGGCACTGCCAGTTTGACATAGCTACAGATTAACAATTATCGATGAAAGACTCAACAATAATCATTGCATTGAAGAAAATTAGAAGTATCATTTTATTTCATTTTGCTTCCATTGTTTAAAACATTGCTTTGTCTGAATGTAGAGTCTCTGGATTTTAATTGTACTCAATTCATTTCTCTCTTAAACTTGACATTTTCACAGTACGATATTACCAAGCAGTACGTCATTGATGGGCCAAGGCCAGATGATTAAGTAACAGCAACAACTAACAAAGCTGCAGTTATGCCTATGCAACTACTTGTTAAGAAAACTATAAGTCCACCAAAAGCACTTAAATAATCAACTTAGGTCAACAATGTTGAAAGCTAGGATTCAAACCTTCTTTGGGGTGAAAATGATTAGATTCCGGTAATTGTTTCACGAATCAAGAAGAGCTGATACCAAACCATAAATAGATGCCATCAGATATTGTCAAGTTTTGGTCTTTCTGTATACCATTTATATTTCTAAGATCACTTATGTCCAATTATATTTAACCAAAGATGATTTGCTGCACGAAAACAAGTTCAAGACTCCTCTAGAAGAGGAAGGAACTAAAATTCGGTATGATAATAATAAAGAACATAAGTAAAGCTCGTATCTACCTTTGATGACATGTGCACCATTTACAGCTGCATCAAATTCATACATTGTGAAAGTGGGTGGGCAGTCAACAATCATGTCGCCAGGATCCAATACGCACCTGCAGCAGAGAACAGTTAGATATCCAAACTGTAGGTCAAACAAGGACTAATCTTGACATGAGTCAGCATTTAGTTAAACTTTAGATAAAAGGGTAGACTAATCATAATGCTTACCGCATTATCAAATCAATGAGTTCATCTGCACCGCACCCTGCAAGAATATACTCAGATTCAAGGCCAGAATCTTCAGCAAGGGCAGCACGCAAGGTACGGCTTTCAGGATCAGGATAAATATATGGAAATTTCATAGCGCCCAAAGCCTCGATTACCTGCAAGAAATTCAACAGCTCAATATTGAGAAGGCGAAAAATAACTACACAAAATGGACTGTCCCAAAAGATTATTTTTTTCCATTAAACAGTGGGCATTGCAAAAGATACTAACTTGCCTCTGGAGGAGGGCCATATGGATTCTCGTTAGCATCTAATTTCACAATGTCCTCCGGCTTTCTACCAAGACGAGTGGATAACACCTGTACAATTGCAAGCAATTTTTTTAGATGCCACAAGAAAATAAAGAAAACATCACATCTAACAAATTATTACCAATCATGTGGTGGTTATTAACTCATCATATCCCAGATAAACGAGAAGGAAAACAACAAGTAGCTCAGATTTTTACCACAGCACCTTTTCTTTATATAACAGACACATTATTCGATCCTTAAATAGAAACCATTTTTTTTCAAGAGAGAGAGAGAGAGAGAGAGAGCTAGCTTTACATGTCATGTCTACCAAACAAAAGGAGCAAAAAGAAATGAAAATTATTAAGAAAAAATTATAAAAAGTACTTCTTGATAGCCTTTTGGCCTATCTAGTTAAGTAAAGAAAAAAGTATCAACACTAGTTCACATACAAAATAGAAACATGACATAATTAATTCCTCTGTGCCTCATGATTCAAGACTCAAAGGGTCTTTACTTATATATAATGTTTGAGTGCCCACTCGGTGCTTTATTGTATAAAATTCAGCTTACTTCTCAGAAAATCATTCAAGACCCAAAGGATGATTACTGGAAAAAATTGTGCCAAGAAAATACATTTTTCATTAGGCAAACTTTATTACTGCAAATATCACACATTTTGATTACAAACAGTGAGCAGCACAACTTGAAATCATAAAACCTGCTAAGCTGATAAGCCAACAAGTACCTACTAAATAGTGGAGAACATCTGATGTCCCTAAGGCTAAATGTAACAGAGATAGATAGACAACATAGTCAATGACAAAGATCAGACGCCGGGTGGAAGCTGCTCCCCCCTCCCCCTCTCCGCACTCAAAAAAAGTGCTTTTGAGGAGGAGCAGAAGCAGTTTTGGAGAAGCAAAAAAAGGTAGCTTCTCTCCAAAAGCACTTTTTTGAGAAGCACTTTTGAGAAAAATACACTTAGAAGCAGTTTTTTAAAGCTTGGCCAAACACTAATTGCTGCTAAGAAGTGTTTTTCAAACTAATTAGCCAAACACAAACTGCTTCTCACCAAAAGTACTTTTGAGAAAAGCACTTTTGGAAAAAAGCACTTCTCAAAATAAGCTGATTTTTGCAGCTTGGCCAAACGGGCTATTACTCAACACAACACAAGGTCAGCTATAATTGGTGCATTTTCTCCTAAATTACAATCAACTTAAGCTCTTTCACCTATAAATGTGGTAAACTTATGTAATCACCATACTGAAAGAAAGTACAAATTGGTTCCTGCTGATTCATCTCAAGAAAACAAAAGGTCCTAGCTGTAGAACTGAGCATTGTCAGTAGTAAATTCAAGTAACTGAGCATTGTCAGTAGTAAATTCAAGTCTTCTCAGTCTTTTTGGTTTAAAATATTTAACTCGATTTACTCAACACACCACCATCCACCCTTAACCAAATGTCTTGTTTTCAAGCCCTCGGAAAGGAGAAACTCCTAGTGCTTCCCCCCTTCTTGGCCTTACGCGGAGCGAATTTGGATTAGTCGGGCCAGTGGGTTTTGGATACCGAATAGTTATACCCAAAATATATATATATACATATATATATTACTCAACACAATATACGGTCGACTATAATTGGTGCATTTTCTCCTACACAATTAACAAACTCATTCACCTATAAAGAGAGTAAATAACATGTAATCAACCATACACAAACAAAATAACAAATGAATCCTACATATTTACCTCAAAAGGCAAAATGGGCTGATAAGGTGACAATTTAAGAAGATGGGGCCGGATAAAAGCATCCCCAGTCACACGTTGTTTCTGCTGACTCTCTTCTTGCACTGGCACTGAGGAGGCCATGCAAATGATTCTCCTCCTCTGATTTCTTTCAATTGAACAACAACTGGGTTTTGCTCTACCAATGCAAATAGATGAAGTGTTGCATAATTCAATTACACCCATCAATTGAAACTTTTTATTCCCTGCACTTAAAAGTTTATTCGAAAAAGTTTAAAGCAGAAAATGTCGAAGTAAGAGCTAAAAAACAACATAATGATAAAAATTCCACCTTTTTGGCCTTATTCTTGTAAAAATCACAACTAATAATACAAATTGGAGTGGATGCTTTGATAGTTACACACAGAATTTCAATCCAATTCACAATCCAATGTGTGTGTATATATATAGAGAGAGAGTGTGTGAGAGAGAGAGAGAGCGTACAACTTTATTCGCCGGCGGCGGAGAGAGTGGTGTCTGACTTGGACAAAGAGTGCGCGTGAGTTGAATTTGGGTAGCCACTTTTAGGATTGTTGTTTAAAACATAATCAACATTTGCAATATTATTTAAAATATAGCCACAACATAAAAAGTATGGCACAGACCTGCTTCTTCAGTTCAATTCTTTTGTTACAAACTTCAGGATAGTCTTGCAAGATCAAACTCAGGATAGCGTCCTGAATTTCAGTTCTTGTGGTTCAAATTCCTGAAATTCATTTTCGATATGGTGATTCACGTTTTTATAATGTTTTGACTTGTAATTGTAACACTCCTCAAATCTATAAAAGTTTTCCGACGCGCTAAATATAGAATTTAATTTAATTTTTTTTAAATCTTAAATTACACTTTTATTACGGATTTAAATCCTTGTGATTGATTTTCGAGTTACTTTTCTATTTATAAATAATTGGATATACAATTAAGGAAATATTAATAATTTTAATATTATTAATTATTAAAGGTGAGTATCATTAATTATTAGTTAAGTTTAAAAAAAATAAAGAAAAAAGGGCCTAAAAGTCCATAAAAGGGCTGTTGGAAAACAAATGGCTCCAAGCCTTAAAGAAAAACAGAACCAAATTTCTGTCATTCACCAAAAAGGACGGAAGGCAAAAGCCTTAGACGAAAAACAGAACTACTGTTCTGTTCGCTCACGAAACAGAGGGTTCTTATCACGCAGGCAACGAAAAATCTAGGGTTCTTTACAAATCACTAATTCTTGAACTCAGGTATATAAAATTCCCTATTGTCAATTATCCTACAGTAGTAATAGGTAAGAACTGAATAATTATTCCCTTCCTTCTCTATATCAATAGTAAATTTCATGTTCAGGTGTGAAACTTTAAAATTGATTAAAATGCACTGGTTGTTGTAGAATCGATTGTTTGACGGGTATAAATTGGACTAATGCCTACGTATTGGCTCAAGGAGTTTTGAGGTGAGTTGATATAACCCTTTACCAAAGTGGCTTAACTCACAAAAGCACGCATACAAGGTGTTTGATGAATTGCTTAAAAAGAGTTTATATTTACTTAATTGGAGCGAGTGAGTACCTATTTGTAACTCCCCGGAAAATTTTTGAAGTGCTATTAAGAAAATTGATGTGCGCTAATTATATTATTTTGTCTGCGAACGAGGACTATTAATATGATGGATATCAATTGGATATGATAATAAGTGTACGGGGCATATTATAAGTGATTTGGGGTCTAAAGAGAGGCCTAAGTCCAAGCCAAGTTGAAAAGTTTCATTTTAGACGAAAGTTTCGAATGAACAGCATAAGACCAAACTTTGGACAAGAATATCTGAATAAATATAAGGATTTATGTGATGAGCAACCTATCAAATGAAAGATTTTCGAATCTAATTTCTACTGCTTCAAACCGTTCGTCATTCGGACACTCCTACAAGAAGTTATGACCAAATTACCAAAAGCAGCGCATAATTTTACACTACCGCGGCGCCCCATGCGGTGCCCTATGCGGCGTGGCAGTACAAAAATGGGTTTTTAAGACCCGAACCCCATTTCATTTAACTCGTTTGGGGTTTGTTATTTTGGGGTTTTCTGGAGCTTTTAGAGAGAGGGAAGAGTAATTCTAGAGAGAGGAAGAAGCTCAAGTGCCTTGTTCATCAAAAAAATGTTGTCCAATCCTTGAAATCCAACAAGAAATCCCTCAAGTTCTTCATCAAAGAGGTAAGGTTCCATACCCTAATCTTCAATTTCGTTTTTGGGTGATTGTTGAGTAAGAATTCATGTGAAAACTAGAGATAAGTCACTTGCGGTCATTGTTAGTCAATAATATGGGATTATCATCAAATATCCTGACTAGATTACTTGTTTTTGGGGTGAAATCCGAAGGTTTGGGGCCTAGGGATTTGAAATTTGATTTGGGGATTTGAGGGATCATTTGAGGTCGGATTTGAGAACTTTTGGTATGTATAGACTCGTGGCGAGATAAGGAATCCGATGATATTAAATTTTCTTATTTTCGAGAAGTGGGTCCGGGACTCGGGTTTTGCAAATTTCGTGAATTTTGATATTTTCGAGTCTTTTCGATTGGGTTATGTTCCCTTAGCCTATTGTAACGTATTCGTTGTGGTTTTGATCAGATTCGACGCGCGAGGAGGTCGATTTGCGAGGCAAGGGCATAGCGAGCTAGGATTTTGGCCGGCTTGAGGTGAGTAATGATTGTAAATGATATCCTAAGGGTTTGAAACCCCGGATTTGCACACCGTAGTGCTATATTGAGGTGACTTGCACGCCGGATAGCGAGCGTGGGGTAGAGCACCGTTGGGGATTGTGACTTAGCCCGTCCCGATTGATGAATTTACTGCGTATTTGACTGAAATTTACTTGTTATCATCATAATTTGGGCTGATTGCCATATTTGGGCTTCGTGCCAGCTATGTGAACCCTTCAGGGATTGTTGTTGATAATTCCTCACTGTTTGATTTTATACTTGGACTCAGTCATGTACTTTTACACTATTTTCAAAACTCAGCCAAGATTACTTGCTTTAACACTTGAAATGATATTTCTAATAATATTTTGGGCTGAGCATCATGTTTATTGTTGCTCGAGTGGCTTATGTGATTTTGTTGACTGAGTGAGGCCGAGGGCCTGTATTGTGAGGAATACTTTTGGATCGGGCTGCACGCCGCAGTAGTGTTATACTGATATTGATATGAGGCCGAGGGCCTAGATTGATGCCACGAGATGGCTTGATATTGCGCTTGGGCCGTAAGGGGCCCCTCCCGGAGTCTGCACACCCCAGTGAGCGCCGTCGACGATATATGGATCGGGCTGCACGCCGCAGCGATATGTGGATCGGGTTGCACGCCGCAGCGTTACTAGTACTGTTCTGTGTGTTTACTTTATTTTATTTGCTTGCCTTACCTGTTGTTGTACTACTTCATGAGATATCTACCAGATTGTCTGACATTATCTGTTAATTGAGTGCGGTGCCCGAGGGGCGGACTTCTGTGCTTATCTGCACTATTTGAATTGCATTCGTTTGCATACTGTTGAAAAAGTCATTTTCAAAGGAGTTTTGAACTGAGCTAAGATATTTCTAAAGATTTCACAGCTTCGCTGTTTTTCTCAAAAGGTTTTACACTACTTCTGTATAGCATGATGATGTGACATACGTGATTTCTTACCGCTCAATTATTATTTACCTTTATTACTCACTGAGTTGGAGTACTCACTTTACTCCCTGCACCTCGTGTGCAGATGCAGGTATTTATTCACCCGGTAGCGGGTTTGGCTGATCAGAGTCAGAGATATAGGATTTTAACGAGGTGACTGCCAGCGTTCGCAGCATCGTTCTTCTCCCTTTGTTCATTATTCTTGATCAGTGTATTTTAGACCTTGAGGTTGTACTTACATCCTAATAGATGCTCGTGACTTGTGACACCCCGATTAGGGCTGTGTGGGGTTGTAATTCCTCTAATTAATATTTTTAAGTCATATTTTAGCTGTTTATTCATGATTAAATTATTTTTGAAAAGACGAGTTGGGTTAGTTGGCTGGCCTCGTCTTCACGAGAGGCGCCATCACGACCAGTGCGGGGTTTGGGTCGTGACACTATTAACTTAGAATTGTTCTAGCAAAAGTTTAGATGATTTATTTGCATAAATTTTCAGATTTTGTATTATTCTTATATGCCGTTTTCATGTTAATTTTTTTTTAATGAAGAAGCAAGAATCTTTAGAAATACTTTTGCATGTTTATTTTATTCTGATGTCATGCTTTACAATTAGAGATACCGTCAGGAGTATGTATATGATGTTCCAAAAAAGAAAAGATTTAGACTTGAAAAGTCACAAGAAGAAGTTTTAGAAGGAAAAGATTTTTGGGAGTATCCTTTATTCTGAGAAGGGGTCATCGTCCAGGCCGCGGGTCCTGGCCGAGGGGTTGACTTCCTGAAACTACTTGTGCCAAAGTAGGGAGCACACGAGCCGAGGGTCTCATTGCTGAGAATTTACTTAGCCAGGCTAAGGTATGATACATGAGCTCTGAGAACCATGAAGCGAGTGGCACCTCGTGGATTGGGCTATTCGATCAGGTTGGGATCGAACCCGTGCCGATCACACGGTGACTAAGACAGAAATAGGTCAGGATAGTTGGAACTCCCGAAGTATAAAGTGAAGTATTTTTTTATATAAGAAAGAAAAAGAAAAGAATTTCTTTTAGAATGCTATTATGCAATTATTTTAGAATTGTTCTTATAAGCTTTTTGTTTTAGATGCATTTAGAAGCTTTGCTCGTAATGTATGTGTTATTAAAGTTTCGTCCCCTGTCATTGAGACTCATTGAGTACAATGGATGGTACTGACGTTCTCTTTTGGGAACCTACATTGGTCTGCGGTACAACGTAGGAACCAGCTTTGCAGGCGAGCAGGCTACGGGTTAGGACTTCCCTCTCTTCCAGTGCTATTGGTGAGCTTCGCTCTTGTTCGCGGAGTACTCCTTTGAGTCGTCATTCTTTAGCTATTTTTTTGTTTACTTAGAGAACTGGCCAAGAAATCTCATGTCCTGAGCAGTGCGTGAGTTTATCAGTAGGGGCTTCATAGACACGATCGGTGGGTTAAGATTCAGTATATTTTTTTAGATTAATANCGAGATGTGATCTCTATGAGTTTGATGTTGGGCCAGTCTGGAGGACTTGGGGCCGGATCTTTGCCTATGGCTTGAGCACTGAGGTGCTGATTGTGTGAGTAAGTGTTTTGAACTTATATGTTCGGCAGTGTCCCTATTAGTGGAAGTGATGGTTGAATAGCTATGTGATGAGTATGTTAGTACTGCGGCATGTATCTATGTAACTTGGAAGTGACGAGGAAGGCCCGCGGGATGATAAATGAACTATTAAGTGTATGATTCCATTGTGATTGGATGTGTAGCTCCGAGTTATGGGCGCGTGAAGAATCTTTTCGTGTCTCCTAGATGGGAGTGAAGTAAATGTCATGTTGCGGTATGAGTTCAAACTCAGGAAGACTAAGTGGCTGTGTAATGTGTATGACGGTGGAAGGTATACGGAAATGTTATATTGAGGCGAAGCAGGTGGGTTATTCCCTGCGGAGTGTTCCGAAGTGGTGTGATCCTTATGTGTATGTTAGAAGATCTCATGTGTAATGGAAGGGTACGGGTTGAAATTTGAGATTTCGGATTGCTTAAGAGAGTGGGCTTAACTGTTG